ATGACCTAGCCTTGGATCAGATTGTGGATTTTCCAACAAGAGATGACAAAACACTTGACCTCTTCTTTGTCTCCCACTTTTCCCTGGTAAATTTTCAAACCTCTGCCAGCATTTGCAAAATTATTTTGTTATGATGGACACACTTATTACGCCTACCTTAGCCAAACACAAGGAAAATTTTCCTATGGAAGAGAGACACACAAGCAATCCAGGAAAGCTTGAAGAACCTGGCAACCGAATCAGTGATAAATAATGACATCAATGTTTCATGGACCCAGTTTAAAAACCATGTTACAGACATGATACAGAAGCATGTACCAACATAAGGCTTACCATAAGGCCAGATCCACCCAAAACCCAGAGGACTGGACTTTTTTAAAGGCAATATGAGAGGGAATTTAGAAGGGCTCATGACAGCTACATTGACGAGATCTTCTGCAGCGACCTCCACAGCAATCCGAAAAGATTCTGGTCTTATCTCAAGGATAAAAGACAGGACTCACAAGGTACTGCACCTCTTAAAAAGGCTGATGGTTTGTTATACAGTGACAAGGAATCCAAGGCAGAGATACTCAACAACCAATTCCACTCTGTGTATACCAATGAGAACACCAGTAGCATGCCAGACAAGGGTCCCAGCCCCTACCCGGACATGCATCGTATAAAAGTGTCAAAAAATGGAGTCTACACCCTCCTGAAAAATATCAAAGTCAACAAAGCTACTGGCCCTGACGAGATACCAGCTAAGCTACTACATGACCACGCTGATCAATTTGCACCAATATTAACATCCATTTTCCAATCTTCTGTAGACACAGAAAAGATTCCAGACGACTGGCGACGGGCAAGTATTGTTCCAATTTTCAAGAAAGGGGACAAACATCTAGCTTCGAACTATCGACCTGTATCATTAACATCTATCCCTTGTAAACCACACGAACACATTATACATAGCCAAGTCATGGACCGTCTAGATGAGAATTCCATCCTCTCAGACAGTCAACATGGATTAAATAATTATTGACAAACAAGTTGGTGTCCACCATAAACAGTCTAGCCCAGAATCTAGGAGAAAAAGGTCAAGTAGACATTATCCTGCTTGACTTTTCTAAAGCCTTCGATAAGGTCCCCCACCAGCGGCTAGCTCATAAGCTAAATTACTACGGGGTACGAGGCACCACTCTCCAATGGATTAGAGACTTCCTAACAGATAGGACACAGCAAGTACTTCTACAGGGCCATACTTCCTCAACTGCACCAGTAGTGTCAGGAGTGCCGCAAGGACAGTCCTAGGACATTTACTGTTCCTCCTCTACATTAACGACGTACGACGAAAGGACGCTGTCAGATACTCGCCGTTTTGCAGATGATTGTCTCCTGTGCAGACCCATTACAAATAAGGATGATGCAGTTACCTTAAAGAAGGATCTTGATTCTCTGACCAGATGGGAAGAGGACTGGCAGATGGCATTCCACCCAGAAAAATGTGTAATAATACAAATTACCAACAAGCATAAACCCATCACCGCTACTTACTCTATACATGGGCACCTCCTAGATGTGGTTGATTCTAGCAAATACCTTTGAGATCACCATCAGTAAAGATCTACGATGGGACAACTACATAAATAACATCACATCCAAAGCCAACAAGACACTGGGCTTCATCATAAAATAAAGCACACTGCAGCATACCAGGGACTAGTTAGTCCAATTCTAGAATATGCCTGTGCGGCATGGGATCCCTGGAGCTCCAAGCAAGTCCAACACCTTGAGAAAGTGCAAAGAAGAGCAGCACGTTTCGCCACCAAAAACTACCACGATTACCAACCTGGCAGTGTTACCCAGATGCTTCAAGATGTACACTGGGAACCATTACAAACAAGAAGAATGAAGATAAGACTTATCCTGCTCTACAAGATCGAGCATGCCTTGATGACTATTCCTGCAGATATGTACCTGACATCGAGCAACAGAAGGACTAGAGGCAGCTACACGTACCGTCTACCACAACCCGGATTGATGCAGATCGATATTCCTTCTTTCCGAGGACAATCCTAGACTGGAACAACTTACCATCTGTAGTTGCCTCAGCACCAACATTAAAGTCCTTCCGGTCACAGCTGGACTCATATACGAGGTGCCAGCTGCCCACAAACACCAACTAAGTGTGCCAGTTTTTAACTTTTTATTTTACATAGTGCCCTGATCGGGTTTTTAGCAAGTGTTTTCTTTCTGTCATGTACAAGGCTTTCACTTGGTTTCAAGGATGACATGGGCGAGGAACTCCAGCCTTTTTTAATTATCAACTTCAGGAGACTTGTGAGTTGAATTCCATTTTGTTAAAGAAACGGTTGTCTACTGTAGATCACTAATTTTTCGCGACACCTTATTTTCGCGAGATAATCATTGACGCTTTATTAGCGACACATAATTTTCACGAATTGTTATTTCTCTATATAATCTTAAGGAATTCTTTTAGGCCTATACGCGAGCATGAAATTTTCGTGAGCTCACTGTGTCGCGTAAGTACGCGAAAATAAAGTTCTCGCGAATAAAGTGATTTACAGTATATATTATGGCAAACCGTAATTTTTGTTTGTGAAACGTCCCTAGCTCAAGAAAGTTTTCCAGTCATATTGAAACGCCATCACTTGCTGGTGGAGGGCTAGAAATTTTGACATTGCAGCCATAGTACTGCCTCAGTCCTGAGCAGTACAGTAACTAAGGACTCTGGTCCCATAACCATAAACTGAGAATATACTTAAGTCAAAATTTCAAATCAATATAACTTTTTCAAAATATTGATAATGAAACTAAATTTACATCATTTGTTGGAATTTGTATATATTATACATAACTGCAAAATTTTAAGAACATATGTTGAATAAAACTGAAGTTATTCAGAATCAAATTTTGATTTAAGTCTATTCTAAGTTTATGGTCATGGGGCCAGGTTAGTTAATACAGTCTCATCTCAGTGGAACGTAAGGATCAATTCCTTATACTTAGGACCCTAAAGCAAACGCTTAAACCACAGTTACGGGGACGACCAATACCTTTGAATTATCCGTATGAAATTGTTTAATGTGTGGACATGTTACACCTTTTTATGTTACTGACTTTGAACAAATATGTTCTTTGAGTTTTTTTTAAAAATTTATAATTAATTTACACCACTTTTAGAATATGCTGTAGCACATAATTATGGCTGAAGTTTGTCCTTTATAACAGTGCATATATTGTGAGGAGTAAATATAAGGGCTTGGTAGAGATGGATCCGACAATGTATCATAAGTTGGAATTTTATGAAATAAAAGCATCCAGTATAAGTATGGAAGATAAAACTCACATTCGTACGTTTCCTAGAATGTTAATAACATAAAGACTGAAATAACATTTTAATGAATTCCTCTTTAGAAAGTGAACACTGGGTATAAGTAGAATTTCAAGATATTGAATTAAAACCTAGTTCTTCTAAAATCCTTTAAACCCTTATAATAAAGTACCTTACAAACAAAGACAATATTGTTTCAAGCTTTGCATACTGGAACCATAACAAATTGTTCATATAGTCTTTTTAATTTTTTGATATTCTTCGATTTTATAAAAACGGAAGAATACTGGTAGATGGTTCGTATTTTGCCATTTAGCTTTCAATAATACGATTCCTTACATGTAATATAATTCCAGAACACTTACTAGTAATTCTTTTCTTTCTGCTCGAGTCCTGCCGTTCAGATTTCTTCCAATATCTCGCCAATCAAAAGATCGGGGCTCCTTGTACATATAGGGCATTTTAAACTGAAGACTATTTTGTTTGAGATGTTTTTAAAGACGTTCAATATCTAAGCATAGTAATGTCTGTTTGAAATAAAGGAAATTGGAAGCAACAGTTTGGGAATATCTGAAGGTATTGCAGGATAATTATAGACTTCAGCTTGAAATATAGTAGAGGGCAAGAATATACATTTTTCATAATCACTTTTAGCTATGTATTTATTCCCCTCTTATATTACACCGAGAAATGATGAATTACTTAGGTATGATTATATTTCCTGGGGGTGCGATTTTTATTTTATCTTTCTTTTTTCAACGACATCGTATACATGTATTCAGCTGAGAGGTATTTGATTCATAACGATAAATACTTGCGAATTATCAGACCCAACACTCCCTTTAATTTACGAAACTCACAATATTGACCACCCACACTTTAAATGATTACAAATTATTTCTTATAAACTTTTTTCTTGGAAATATCGAAGTAAAAATGCTGTCAATTTAATGTTCTAACTTCTTCCTTTGATGTTCAAATCATAACATGAACTGAAGGATAAAAAGAAATTAGCTAGAATTCACATTGTATTAGTTTAGAATGACCAGGCTACAAGCGGGCCTAAAATCTAAAGTAAAAAAAACGTGAATATATATTTTTTTCACTTCGGGAATTGTTTCGCCTATATTGTTTGTTTGATGCAGCCTGCTGTTTTCCATCCAGTTCGATAATGTTTACTCATATAGATTCACCATATACCGTTGAAGGGTTTTAATTTTAGACTTGTACTCAGCACTTAGGATCTTTGAGCAATGAGAGATCTTTTTCGTGCCATCCACCTTTTCTGACACTTCATTTTATTAACGGGACTAAACCCAAATGACCAGTCTCCACGTCCTGCACTTAATTCAACCCGCGAAAAAATCAGTTACATGTGTATTCACTATCTTGAATATGAAGCATGTCTATTTGATCAGAAAACATCACATATAATGTTCTCTCAATTCCTCAGGTTTCGTTAGACAATGCATGAGGTCATAGACCATATCTTGACAATGTAAAACACCATCCAAGTTCCCTTACAAAATATTCAGGCTCCGAACTTGGAACTCCATCACAAAAGGACAGAATATTTAAAAATGTTTCTTAGAGGAACGAAACAGATTTATTTAATCGTTTTCATTCACAAAGTCTTGGTAAAAAAAATCAACATATAAAAAAAAATAGGAGGCTTAACCTGTAACAGTTTTAATGTACTCTTCATATAAACATTTGATACAAATATAAACAGTATTTTTAACTGCTTTACTAACAATTACTGTTCCGTGTAGCCTGGAGGATAATTGATGACGAAGCCTGCGGGGCAGTTTGGAGTCTGGCAGCATTTACCTGGACCAGGTGGGTTCAGTGAGCAGACAGGTGGTAGCTGCCAATCAACGCATCTGTAAGTATTTAAAAACTAATTTTGACGATGTTCTTGTATTTGTCAAATAATAATGTAACGCATAAATGAATATGTTTTAAAAAATATGATAACACATGTAACGCAGAGTATGATAATTACTTTAAAAGAAAACTCACTTGTTTTTACATGTGTAATAACCTCTAGAAGCATCTGCGCATGTGCATGTGTATTTACATCCATCGTCGAATGTTTGCCCTTGTTGATACAATTGTCCATTGTAGAAACATCCCTGGGTTTGACCTTTTGAAAAATTATCCAGTTTGAAATAATTGTATATATTATAGCAAATTGAGTTCATGTTATTGGTATCAAATTTAAGTAACTTATATTTTGAACAAAATAATATGTGACGTCTATTCTAACTTATTACATTTAAATTATTGTAAGATACACTTAGTAGAATCTTCAATTGCATTTCATTCTATGAAATTCAAGTATACGAATTTGTTATCGATAGATACCAATTTTGTAATTATTTGCTAAAAAATGTATAAGAATGTCCAATATACACTTATCCAGATCTCATATATAGATTATATTATATATATATATATATATATATATATATATATATATATATATATATATATATATATATATATATATATATATAATTAACAATAGAACAACCAGTTTTCAATATTAAATTTCGTAACCAGTCTACATATAATTGTCATCTTGTATACAAGAACTTCTTTTGTGCTAACAGTTGTTGCCGTTTGGATGAAAGAAAGAACAGTTGCCTCTTTATCTACTTGATAGTATATGAGATGCACATACCTGTCATGGTACCGGTTCCTCCAGTTCCTGTCATGGTACCATTTCCGGTTCCTGTCATGGTACCAGTTCCGGTTCCTGTCATCGTACCGGTTCCACCGGTTCCTGTCATGGTACCAGTTCCAGTGCTCCCAGTACATTGAGGCTGACCACAACACTGTCCACTTGGTTTAACAATGACACAACCTTGTGGGAGGTTAGTATACTGAGGACATCTATTTTAGATTAAAAAAAAATTGGATTGTAATTTCTGTATAACAATTAAGAAGGTTTATTTCTTTGTTTCTTTCCCTTTCTCCTAGCCTATCTAATACTTACAGTGCCCTACACACATAATATCCACGGGATGCATCTGAACAAGTGCAGTTATAGTCACATCCATCATTCCATTGTTCTCCTTGTGTGTACAGTTGTCCTTTGTACAAGCATCCGCCACCTAAAAGAAGGGCAATCATTATTAGATATTCTCGGATAAACAGAAATTTGCTCATATGTGAAATATTCTACATTGTATTGGTCATTTAAAACTGCAACAAGAAATGCATAATTGACATTTGCAATGATGACTTCACATTTGCTGTGAAATCCATGTATATAATACAATTTTCCACTAAAATCTTTTCTTTGATAACTGTTATCATAGAAGATATATTGCAGAATACAGCCTACGGTAGAGATTCACGCCACAGAGAACTGTTTTTGAAGTACAAGAATTGTACTCCAACAGTCCGTTCTCAAAAGGGATAAATCCTACTTGTTACAACTTCCATTATCAAACCCGTTCCCTTTCCTGTGAGTAACCTAGCTACATTTTATTCCATATAATTTTAGTAATATTTTTGTGAGGAATATTTTATTCATACCAGTTCCTGTGAAAGAACTGCCTGGAACAGACGTCACCATTCCTATTCCTGTCATTCCACCTTGGGTTCCGGTTCCAGTACCGCCAGTTCCGGTTCCTGTTCCAGTCATACCACCAGTATTTCCGGTAACAATTATGGTACCATTTGGTCCTAAGATAAGAGTTTTCGCTTAGAAAACTATGACTCCAATGAATTACTTTCATTACGAGAATAAAACTACATATCTCTATTGATACAAACAGAGTATGCATGTAGTCTAAAATAAGAAATTTAGTCGCATCTCCTTTGATATATGTGATCTTAATTACCACAGAATCCACAGTAGGCGGGGCAGTTCTTCACGGCCCAAGAGATGTAAGGTTCTACACAAGAACTCTTGGTAAATTCAACACAATTAGGTAGAGTATCCTGACAAGCCCCTGTAAATAAATGTCAATACATGTACAGATAATACGAAAATAAAAGCCTTTTACGTATAAGGTAAGGGGAAATGCTAAAAAAACCTCTTTTTCCTCAAGTTTTATGTGTTTTCCCAAATGTTTTTTCCATTTATTTTCACGTTTAAGATATAATACCCCTTCGTAAATAGAGAATATTCTTTTTTGTCAATTCTTATTTTCTGCATTTGAAAGTGAGACCGGAATGAAAAATAAAAAACCCCCCGAACTTTGAATATCCAACGACCAAAATATGGAATATATTTTGATGATAACAACGAAAAAATAATCAAAAAACAAAGAAACAAAACAAAATCCTGACAAAATATTTACCTGTTCCTGTTCCAGAAGTTCCTGTCCCAGAAGTTCCGGTTCCTCCAGTTCCTAAATCATGTAAAAATCATTTATTACAATCAGTTCAAAGAACACCTTTAATTGAATCAATGGACAAAAACAATAAAATGAAATCAAAACTATTGACACTTCAACTGGGAACAAGTCTATATTCTCAATACCTTTTTTCAATTTTATTCCCGTTAATGAGTATTTGGAACTTAACGTACAAGAATGTAAAAAGCAAATATATCAGACAAGAACAAAATGTGGTGATTTTTTCTTCCAAAAACTAAAAGTGTAAGGAATGTTACAAGTGCTATCCACTTTAAATTCAAATATCTTCAAAAAATTTTGCTCTTCAAAATCAGGTCAAAATTTTCTTCTTGATATATTTTTATGTTTGATAGAACAAAAAAAGGGCAAATCTACGATTTCCATAATTTAATTTACGGTAAAGTATAGGTATATTCTCAGCTTTTTTATTAGTCCCTTCGTAGTCTTATATGTATCATAAGGCTATTTGCGTGTTTTATAACTAAGAACCCTGCTTTCTTGAGAAAAGTTTTACAGGTGTCCTAGAGATAATATTTTGGAAAAGTTTAGCTGTCTTTCTAAACCTATATCATTTCCTTGAATGATAGACGGTTTAAGCCAAGTTTGGTCGTAAAATTCCCATTGGATTTGAAGAAAAAGGCTATGGTAAACACACAAAGAAGCCAAAACTGCTCTTTGCAAATCCATAGCAAACTAACAGAACAAATTACTATTACAAGCAGTAGAATAAATAATTTTTAAAACAAAAATTTTCTTTTAAAATTACAGAATAAACTAAATTAACAAAATTTTCTCCGCAAAGCTCTCTTAATGTGTTTTTGATAATATTTCATTGTTCGAAATCTTTTCTTTGTAAGAGAGGAATATCATTCATATTGTTAGTAAATTGTATTGGCAAAAATACTAAAGAATGATTAAAAGAAATGTTTGTTCCTAACTAAGCCTCACCAGTTATCATGGAGGGTGCCACTGGAACTCCTGCCGATATATAAAATGAAAAAGCAAACAGCATTAAAACAACAAGCAAAGCTCAGACAAAAGCCTGCAAGGAAAATAGGCAAGTACTAAATTGAAACAAATATGTTTATCCTTGTCAGACCATGGACCTCCTGTTGGTATATAAAAAAGCAACAGCGAAACAAACATGCACAGCATTAAGCAATGGCATGATCATGATTTACGCCTGTTTGAGATACAAATTCTTCACGTTAAATATTACAATTCAAGTCATTGTTAAAATATGAATATGAATTACTTTTTGATTATATGAATGACTGTTGAAAGAAAAAACACGAGATGCAAAAAATACAACATATGATTTCTGGTCAATATCATTTTGCAAGGCGTTTTGCCAAAATAGACAGTTCCATAAATCGTTTTTAGTTTAATAAGGAGAGTAAGGACTTCATTAAATACTTCTTTAATCGTGTTTCAAAATTATTTCTGTCATTCTATAGCTTTTAAATATCTACCTAAAAGTATCGAAATTATATTCAAAGAAAAAATTATTAAGTAAAAACTTCATTGGCAAATATATCCATTTAAATTTAACGATAGTAATATAAAGAACAATGACTGCCACCAGAAATTAGTGATGTTGATGAAGATATACACAATGCAGAACATTAACAAAAATGTGAAAAGCTGCATACAAAAATTCTTTGCAATATGCTCTTCAGCAGCGTCAAGCCTCATAAAAAAGATATTTTAATGACAAAGCACTAACCTGTCACTGTTCCACCACTAGTACCAGTTCCTGTGGCACCTATAATCAGAAACAAGTAATGTAAATGAGGAATAGTTATTGCTTATACAATCGATTGAGCAAGGTGAATCACAAACCAAAATATTTTTATCAATCCACAATATAGTTCAGTTATTAAAATAATTAAAATAAAACTGATGGCTTTTAATTTGGAAGGTGTTTTCCCCTAAAGAAAGAATTAAATGTCTTTAAAAGCACTTTATGTGCGATTGTCCTTGAAAATTTTGAAATCAGCAAACCCGTTTTAAATCATTTCCATATTCATATAAAGAGTTAATTTGACAGTTTGATTAATTTTCATTGGAAAACAAAGACAGGAGCAAACATAAAGAATTCCTTCTCAGAAAAATTAAGCTAAATATATACATATTGTGAAAACTTGAAATAATCTTTGTTTTAATTTGACTCACCACAGTATCCACATGTCTTGGGACAGTTATATTTGGCCCATCCAGTAAACTGTCCAGTACAGGATTGGGTGCCAAAGTCTTTACAGTTTGGAATTTTGTCAGCGCATACTCCTGGGGAAGATGTTGTCTGAGTTGCTGTGAAGAAAAATTCTCTTATTATCTTTATATTATAGTTTTAGTTAAAATTATTTTTCATACCATGTATTGTGTCTTCTACAGAAACTATGGACGTATTATAATTTTTATTAAGTATTAAAAATGTATTAAAAGTTATTGCATTTGTATGTCCAGTTAATTAATTATAATCCCTATGGGTAAGTGGAAAAAATAAGTAACATTCATATCATAATCAAGTCTGAAATTTAGTAGTGGTTAGTGAATAAGAAATTACTTGCGGTGCCATTTCCACAGAATCCACAGAATTTAGCGCAGTTATCCTTTGCCCAGCCAGCGTAGGGTTCATGACATGCGTAACTTCCGTAAGATGCGCAGTCAGCTTTGACGTCACGGCAAGAGGCAGGACCAGTTGGATTGCACTCTGGTTTCTGACAACACTGGTCGTTTGCGTCTGGTACTAAATGACATTCAGTGGGCAGTGTTCCATATCGTGGACATCTTTGAGGTAAAAGTAATTGTTTTGTTTTTTAATACTTTTATACTTTTATGTGCTCATTTTAATACATTAAAGGGATTCAAATAATTATAGCAGCAAAAATATAATACCTATCACTGCAACGGTAGATACCCTTTGTTGCATCGATACATTCGCAGTTGTAGTCACAGCCATCTTGCCAGGTCTGACCTTGCTGATATATCTGTCCCTTGTAAATACAGGCACCTGAAAAGAGTATTGAACAAGACAAAGTAAGTATTGTTCTTCATATGTTATTTAATTTTTAACAGATTTTGTTTCCGATATTAGTTTTTGGTTTTTGTTTTATATTTGCATATTCGTACGTTTGGTGGTTATATTATTTATTTATTCATGTTTCTTGATTACAGGATGAGATTTTATTAATATTTTAGCGAAAATATATAACAAGTTTTCGAACTCAACATTTACATTTTCTAAATCATATTTTTCACTTTTGACGTAAAACTCCTGCATTGGATGCTATGCTAAAACACTTTTATTCTGAATTTAAATCTTCTACTTTACTTTGAAGAAAAACATAAACTGATAAAAAGGAATATATCCAGTCAAAAAAGATATATCCAGTCAAACTTTAACATACTTGAATATCCTGTAGTTGAACCTGAGGTAGTTCCAGATGCAGTTTGGGGTCTGCCTTGTCCGGTAAAGCTTCCGGTGTATCCAGCTGGATTGAATCCAGTCACTGTCTGACCAGTGCTTCCGGAGACACTGCATTGTGGGATACGACAACAGGAGTCCTTAGGATCTGTGACGTAGGTACATCCAACAGGGATGTTGGAGTATTGTCCACATCTTCAAGAAGGTAATCATAAGACTTTTTACTTTACTTCTAAGTATTACACTTACAAAAATATCATTACTCGTTAACTTTTGCAAAATCATTTCCATCTAAATGAATTGTAAACGGTGAGAATAAATTGAAAAGGAAGATTTATTTGGAAAATAGCTGCTTATTTCAACACTAAATTTATTTCATTTTGATTAAAAGCAACCTTTATGTATTTTTAAAAAAAATCTTTTGATGTCTTTGCGCAAAACACTTTAGGAATTTAGGAAATAAATGACAAATACATGTATAATCAACAGTGACTTCTGTTTAGATGGTGAGTGTAATGTAACTTATGGATTACCTTTCTGTACACTGGTAGTATTTGTTTTTGGCGTCCTCACATCGGCATTTGTAACTACAGCCGTCCATCCATTCTTCTCCCTGGTGGTAATACTGGCTCTTGTACACACAGTAATCTTTAACCGAACGGAAATATCAAATTAAATGCTTAATAGAAGTAACAATGGTTAATAAAAATAAGCAAAATATTACATCTTATCCAATTAGTCTCTAAAAAGAGGCCCAGGGGCCACATCGCTCACCTGAGCACATCGGCTAGGAAAATGCACAAATCAGATCAGAATTGAAAAGTTTACTGAGGTGGTGTGGTGGGATGGAGTCGGGGGCTTGAATTCTAATACCACTTGAGAATGCCTCCATATCAATTCTGCATTTAACTTATTGAAAGAGTTCTTGAGAAGAAGATTTTTTAAAGATTTTTCCTATATATTCCTATGTAAAACTTTGATCGGCCATTGTGGCCCCACCCTAGCCCCGGGGCCATGATTTGAACAAACTTGAATGTACACTATTTGAGGATGATTCAACAGGAGTTTCATCTTTCCCGTCCCAATGGTTCTTGAGAAGAAGATTTTTAAAGATATTTTCTATATACTATGTAAAACTTTGATCGGCCATTTTGGCCCCACCCTTGCCTCGGGGGTCATGATTTGAAGAAACTTCAATGTACACTACCTGAGGAAGACTCAACATGAGTTTCACCTTTCCTTGCCTATGGATCTTGAGAAGAAGATTTTTAAAAGATTTTTCCTATATATTCCTATGTAAAACTTTGATAGGCCATTGTAACCTCACCCTATCCCCGGGGGTCATGATTTGAAAAAAAATTGAATGTACATTATCTGAGGATGATTCATGATTGATTGATTGATTGATTGATTGTATACTGTTTAACGTCCCTCTCCAGAATATTTCACTGATATGGAGACGTCACCATTGCCGGTGAAGGGCTGCAAATTTAGGCCTATGCTCGGCACTTATGGCCTTTGAGCAGGGAGGGACCTTTATCGTGCCACACCTGCTGTGACACGGGGCCTCGGTTTATAATTTCTCATCCGAAGGACCGCCCCATGTAGTCGC